ACGCTCATAACATGACCTTGTGTTTTGTGTTCCTATATTATAGTACATTGTTGGTCCATTATAATTCTATCATTTCTAATTACTCATTCATGCATTAATGCATTCATTCATGCATTAATTTCATTCATTCATTCATTCATTCATTCATTCATTCATGCATTCATTTCATTCATTTCATTCATTCATTCATTCATTCATTCATTCATTCATTCATTCATTCATTCATTCATTCATTCATTCATTCATTCATTCATTCATTCATTCATTCATTCATTCATTCATTCATTCATTCATTCATTCATTCATTCATTCATTCATTCATTCATTCATTCATTCATTCATTCATTCATTCATTCATTCATTCATTCATTCATTCATTCATTCATTCATTCATTCATTCATTCATTCATTCATTCATTCATTCATTCATTCATTCAGTTGTTGTTGTTGTTTGTTTTTTTTCCAGTTCATTTCATTTCATGTCATTTCATGTCATTTCAATACGTGTAATTTCAGTATTTCATTTCATTCATTCATTCATTCATTCATTCATTCATTCATTCATTCATTCATTCATTCATTCATTCATTCATTCATTTCATTAGTCATTCATGCACACGTTCATGTATTCATTCATTCATGAGTTCATGAATTCATGCTTTCCTGCTTTCATGAGTTCATTCACGTAGTGTGTTATGTAATTATCAATTTGACAATTATGTTTCAGGGTCGTGCAAACATTCAACTAAATATGCATGTGCTCATGTTTTGTAGCTCCCTTGGTGGACACATAGATACTACATATGTAAAAAATACATATATATAAACAATATATATATATATATACGTATATATATATATACATATATATATATATATATTTATATATATATATATATATATATATATATATATATATATATATATATTTGAGGGGCCAAATGTCCCTTCAAGTCGAAGCGGGTAGCATCACCGCCGCAGGACAAGCCCTGAAGGCCACCATCGCCGGCATCGAGATGTTCCACAAGACCTTGGACGAGGGTCAGTGTGGGGACCAGCCTGGGACCCAAAGGTCTCATGTGCCGCTCCTGGATTTGTTTTTCCCCGAAAATGGCGTGGAACTTGGGCATGCGACTGGGCTTTTTTCTCGAAAAAACAAAAAAAAGGCTCAGTTCCTGAGTTCCTGGAATTTATGCGTTTTGGGAGACTATTTTAGTGGCAACCTACGTACACATTTGACATGTCCTTTTACGTATTTCACTGCTGCTGTCACTGAAGAGGGTATTTGCACCCTTATTGAGCATGGTACAGCCAAGGAAGTTTAGGGACCTCATTTTGTTTGAGAACGCAATGTGGGCTTGTCTCCAAATTGGGAAACAAGCCCTGGTCATCCCTTTGAAACAACCGTGCCAAATGTAATCTTGAGTTGATGGTGGACCAACTGTTTGATAGTGTTTGAAGGGAAACAACAGCAGGGGATGCCCATTTTCTCACTTACCGGCAACCAAGCAACAATGGAGGCGTCCAAGCACCAGCCAGGTAAGAAAACTTGCTGGTGCTCAGCCGGGAATGAGAAATGGAATGACCCCTATAAAGCCTTCAACTGGTGGTTTCCTTTAAGGGCTCCCCTTGGGTTCATTCCCAAATTCCCTACGAGCACCGGCAAGAAAACCGATTTGGAGAACTCAAGCTGAGGTGCGGCATCAACTTGAAGGGCGTGAAGCGCAACGAGATTCAGCGAGGGCAGGTGGGCCGAACTACCCTCGTTCTCCAACTGTGTCTAGCTAGGTCCCCCAGTAGTGCCCTTTTACCGTTTCTTCTTTTCTGGGGGAGGGTTCCCCTACTAAAATAGACTACAGAAAAAAGGGTACCCTTATTCTAACCTTTTAGTGGAGGACCTAGCTAGTTTCTTTAGTTGGCAAGCAGGGGTCTCTAAACGTGCCTGTTTGGTGGGGTGATGTTTATATTAAGGAGGACTTATAAAAGGACATCCTGAGGATGTTTGGCCCGTTTTCTGTGCATCTTGGGGATTGGTGCTGGGCTGGTGTGTTTGTGCCATTGGTCACTTCCAACGTTCAGAATCTGAGAGGCAAGCACACAATGCATGGCTAGTTCGCCGCTCTCCGCAGAGTTTCGCCTCGAGTCAGCGCCCGAAATAAGCTTGCTCACTTTAGCCGGAAATTCTACCACGCCGTTGTGAATTGGGTGTGCAGTGAGGCCTAGAAAATATATTTAATTATGTCGGGTTTTGACCCGAAAGCCGCAATCAGTCTCAGCGAGAAATTGATTTGATAACCGCTCTTTTGCTGTGTTTTACATTGATTTCAATTCTGGGCTTTGCGGATGACTTGCAAATAGGAACCCAGGATTACCCCCCTGGTTGATGAATGGTGGGTATCTCATTGTAGTTCACTTGTTGTGGAAAAGATGCTATTTGCGCACAAAGTGCATTGTTCCGGGGTCGACATTCGTCTGGTGTTGGCGTGCCATGAAGCCAGATGTCATTCAGTGGAACAAGCGCATCTCTCGAGCCAGTGGCTCGCGAGCGCTCCAACTCTTGGAAGAGGCCGGTGTCGTTGAGCGAGTTCTATTTGGATGGTCTAGAAGTTAGCTGAGACGTTAGTTTTAGCTAACACTTGGATGTTCATCCTGCTTACTGAGTAAGTTACAGCCATGGTTATTGCTGGGATACCTGGGGTTGTTTGACTTACCAAGCAACATTCACAGCCCTCATCCAAGCGTGTGCTTTTTGGATGGCGGAAACGATTTTCCACCGAACAACAGGTCGCCCATGAGGACAGTTTCATTTGTTTTGGGGTGAACCGACCCCGCCATATATAGTATATACAATGTATAACTATGTGTATGTATATATGCATATGCATATATATATATATACATATACACACATTGTTCTCCAAAAAGACGACCCTGCTTGATGCCGTTGTTTTCTGAGTATCGAACATCCACCCCCTTGTTCAAACCAAAGGAAAACCCATTTGTTTGGGCGGGCCCCCTCGTTGACAAGCACTACAACAATGGGCAGTCGAATACCCCTGTCCGTCAAGCGTTGTTTTGTTTCAGGATCAACCCTTGCAGTTGCTCAGCTGCTGTTCTGGTTGGTGCAGTAAGGTAAGTGTAGATGGGTGTTTCTAAAAGTTGGGTACCCAACCCATTAGAGCTCGTCTCATGTTCCATTTGACTATCTTTGCGGAGGTGCAAACGAGTCCCAGGAGATGCAGTTGCCACCCATGCCACCCTTGCAAAACAACGTGTTCATGCATACAACCAAGTAGTTATCTCTGCCAGACCACAGTGCAGGTTCCTTTCTTTGAGGCTTTGTAAGGGTTTGGCAGGAGCTGTTAAACCAGCCATGCCTTGGCCAGCTTCCAACTTTAAAAAACAACCAGAAGGAGGGTGTGTCAACAATAGGTGCTGACACATTGTGTTTTTCATGCTGAACAAACAGGGGGTAGGGCTTCGGGTAGGGTTTGACTCGGTTTTCACACCTGTTTGTTTCAACATAGGGTAGAGGTACTTGGATGCTCAACCGGCTCAGGCGAGGTAACAACCCAGTTCTTCCCGGTACACCCCACCGGGTAGGGGAGGAGGGTTTGACTCGTTTTTCGCACCTTTTTGTTGCAGCAACATAGGCGGAGGTACTTGGATGCTCAACCCACTTAGCACTACGTACATCTTACCAATACCACGAACCCAATTCGCAGATCTCCCAGTACCAGTACCACTGGGCTGAATCGAGTCTCAGGTCCAAGCCGTGCAGCTGCAGCCCACCGTCGTCTCCTTCACCGCGGCTTTGCGCGCGCTGTCCGGCGCCCGAGTCTGGCGCCGGGCGCTGCAGCTCTGGCAGCGCATGGGGCAGCAGGGCCTGGAGCATGACGCGCCTTCGGAGAAAGCGGTGGTGCCAAATTGGCGAGGAATTTCTTTTACTTGCTGCTGCTCAGTAGGGAATGAGGGAATGACCCTTATCAACCATCCAACTGGTGGTTAGTGGTTTCCTTGTGGTATCCTTTGAGGATGTCTGAAAAGAGGTTGCTGGACAGAAACATCCTCACTGAATCCTCACCTCAATGATGTCCACCAAAGGGTTCCGAATCGAAATTCATGCCCAATTGGCAACTGCGCTTGGTGCTCTGGAATATGTGTTTGTTCAGATTAATTGGTGGGAGTTTGCCCATCCACAGAAAAAGGGAAACGCAAAGGAGGCTGGCAAAAGATAGAACAACTGGTGATTTCGTGCCTAGGCTGAGGAGCCCGCGATTCTTTCCGCAGGTAATCTTGGTAGGGTTCCATCAGTCCCTTTTGGTTTCAGGCCTTCAGGGAAGCTTTGGGTGTTGTTGCCCTTTGCGTTGGGTTGAGCCAGGTGCATTCGATAAGCATCAAATGGGATCCCATCCCCAGAAAGGCATGAGCTAGGCTTCCTTCGGACTGGCTGATGTGTACCATGGTCGAAATGGTCCGATTGCTTTGGTTCGGTAGGGACAGTCAGTATTCAACTGCTAAATAGTTTGTTTAAGACCATTGAAGGGAGGCATGCGACCCACACATAAGTGAAGAAATTGGATTTCAGGGAACTCTGTAACCCCCGTGTTTTTATCCAAGCAATGCTGGTATGGCCTCGTGGCAAGAATCGGAAAGGGAATGTGTGCCGCACGTTGCATCGAGCTCGCCAAGCGCAAAGACCAGCTCAGCGCCCCTGCTCAGGAAGCCTGATTTTAGGACACCCTCTTGAAGAAGGCCTTTCAGTGAACTCTTTAATTATCTTGTCTCCAGTCCCCCACCAATCAACAACCTGACGTTCGGGGGGGTCCTGTTTGGACCAAACAATTGTTTTACGGGGCCATTCCCTTGTCGGTAACCAGGGTTAGGTAAATTCAGTTGGCTGACTTGTCTCCGGTTGGCCCCATATTCTCACCGAGGTCGTGGCCTGCAATGCAGCTGCCAGCTGCCTTGAGGCTTGGAGCGAGGCCAGAGCTGGGTGAAGATGCGGCCCCTTCGAGCAAGTTTGTCTCAAGGAATCGACCTTCAAAACTGATGGTGTTCCTTTTGTTCTAAATTGAAAACCAGCCAAAAAGAGTAACTACACTCCAACAAAGATGCCCTACGAAGCCCTTGGGCTGGGTGATTCAATCCCTTGACTTAGCTTGTGTCTTGCGCCGCTGTTTAAGCCGCTGTGGTTCGAAGCGGGCTTGCTCAAACCATACGTGGTCGATACCAGCACATTTGGTTCGGAGGCGGCGGTCTTTCTGCGGGAACTCCAGGTGAGATGCTTGAGACTCGGCAGCTTTCCGTCGGTCGGCGCTCCGGCGCGAGCTCTCAATCGGGCGTGTTTCGTCGGTCAGGACGAAAGAGAGCTCCAAGGGTTGGCCCAAGTGTCTCTTTGTGGGTTGGTTGGTGTCGCTTAACCTACAGAAACAGGGCTACCCTCAAAAAGGCACACCCAACTGGGGTGTCATTTTTTGCTGGTATTTGTTGGCACTGTCTTGGGTGAAAGTGGGGCTTGGGGTTCCCCAGTTGGAGACCCCCATTTCAGGTGGTTGAAAAAGGGCCCCCTGTTGGGTCAAGGTTCCCTTCAGAAAGACTTAAGTCCAAGCGCTCAAGGATAGAACGGAACAAATCTTATGACCGTTTTGTATGATGAGGAATGCTTCCCTGCCATCAGCAATCCAGTTTGCCCCTCCCAGAAAGCCGGGTTTCCCTTTTTTCCCCAAGGAGGGGCGTAAAGGCACAGCTTGAGACTTGTTTGGGGGAAAGCCCAATTGCTAGTGCCGGGTTAACAAGTGAAGGAACCTGTGTTTCACTGCGAGGCCTGGAGAGGCAGACGGAGGGTTCCACGCCTTTCTCGAACAATTTCGGTCTCTTGTTAACTCCCCTCGCAAAACAAAATGCATTTGTCCCATCTGAATCTGCCCAAGTCATATATAGTGCAGAAAAGGCTCTAAACATTGAAGAAGAAGATGCGGACACTTTCCCAGACGTGCGCTTCTCCACAAAAGCTGATTGAGGATGCGATCCCCCCGCAGCTTACCACCAGCAAAGAAGACAGACAGTAGCCATCCAAAAGATGGGCCACGTTGGCCAAAGCATAGGGTCAATAAGCGACCTTTCTGGGTGTTTTGGAGGCGCAGCACCTCGCAGGTTCCAAAAGGGGAGCCCCCAGTCTGAAGACGAATGTGTAGCTTCGAACATGGGCCAAGCAAACGTCGTCCTACCCAGTTGTGGATCAAGCAACACGGCTCCCCCTTCTTCCACTCACCCATCCCAACATGTCTAGTTCCCTTATTCGGATTCCACTTGGGTGTTCTCCCCCACTGGTTGCAGGGATTTGGCCTGAACCTTTCAACCACAAATCAGCGGGATGGGTTTTGGAGGGGGTCGTTATTCCACTACTCTTAGTGGTATAAACTCCATAACCTTCAAGACCCGCACCCGACCATGTGCACCACTGTGGCGTGATGCTAATGTTGGGCGCCCTTTGGGGAGCAAATCGCATTTCCATGTCAGCCATGCTCCAGCCAATTTGTTTGGAAGGGGGGAAAGTACCAAACAAGGACCTTTCCATAATCTTTCCATATAACATGCCCCAGTCCGGGCAAGTGCAAAAAGCCCGCATGTTTCAACCAGAAATCGGATCTCAGTGACTTAGGAAAGTGGACACCATCTCCCACAACGCGGCCATTAGCACTTGTGAAGCGAGCCAGTGGCAGCAAGCCTCCGCTTTGCTGGATGTCCTGCAGGTGAAGTTCCTACAACCCACTGTCACTCATGGCGACGGCAAGCTTTCATGTGGTGGTTGTTATGAATACGTTGAAAGGGGTGCCACCCCTTTTGTTGGACTTGGGACAATATGGGACACACGCCCAACCGTTTTGGGGGCTCCCTCCAACTCCGCATGGCCGGGTCTCGGCTCGCCCGTTGCCTCTTGGTATGTTCAGCCGGGGAAAACAGCCGGCATCGCATGGCCTCGGTTCAGTTGAAGTGGGACGAGTTCGGGTCCAGGGAGCTCCATTGGTAATGTTTATTGGCTACTCTAGCGTGCAATATAAATAAATAAATAAATATGTATGTGTATAAGTGTGTATATTATATATATATATATATACATTTATGTATTTATGTATATGTGTAAATATGTATGTATAAGTGTGTATATATGTATATACACGTGTGTGTCCATGAGCTTCTCTTCGTGGTTGGAGGACTAGACCAATGCGATTGCCTAAGTCACCAAGGCTGTGTCTCTGAATGCCGTGATGAGTGCCGAGAGACGGTGGCCTGCGAGTTTGATGCTCCTACAGATGGGTGCAAGGCGCGGAAGCGCGTCTCGGCATGCGCAGGCAGCTAACATCTGTGTGCTTGTCGGCGTTAGTTTGTGGGAGTTTTCTTGATTCAGGGGAAACTGGGTGATGACTCATAGTGAACAGATGACGTTTATGTATATACATATGTTATTCATGTATAGATGGAAAGGTTGCATTCGAGCTGGTTGTATATTCAGGTCCGAAATCTAATTCACAAGTTGAGATCTCAATCTCAAATGTCAATTCGAAGTGTGCCTGTAATGCTGACTTCAATTCGTTAGTCTCATGGGTTCTGTGCCTGGGGGCGTGTGCAAACCGCACCCATGGGGTTCAATGAGACATACGGCCACCATATACTTAGAAGTACATAGGTTTTTTTTTTCAACATTCATGGAAGTGCATGTGAGTTTCTTTTCAACAAACATGGAAGCTGCACAAACTTGCCCAACACCGGTTTCGTTAACATGGAAGTTTTCGAATATTGCTTCCAAGGCTAACATAGAAGCTGCACAGGAAAATAACTTCCAACATAGAATCAATGAACATGGAAGTGCACAGGAAAAACGCACGGAGGCCTTTTCCTCATCACTCTCGAGAGGTTGCCGCAGGCACCTAAACTAAACTGTAGGGGCCTGAGCGCCAAACCAACAAGCGCTTCACGCACCCTACATCTAGCATCGCATTGTGAAAAAGGCGAGCAACCCAACAGCCCGCCCGGTTGGACCCCACATACAGTGCTAACATCGCATTCTGAAAAGGCATCCAACACAACAGCCCTAAAGTGCTAACATGGAAGCTACTCCTTGTAAACAATCTTAGATAGTTTGTTTTCAACATTCATGGGCTCATGCTGTGTAGCTCAGCCTGAATGCGTGCCAAGTATTCGGCTCCGTCTACGTCAGTAGGTTCCTCTTGGAGGTACCACAGCCAGAGCTTCTCCATCGCAAGAAGCAAAGCCGCCTCCTCGCTTCGGTTGTTCTTGTAGCTGGGGGCAAAGTTTTCGTTCGTGCCCTTGTGGTGCGCGTGCCATTGGCTCGTCGAGGTGTGGTGCCACAGCCCATACCCATTGCTTGGCGGCAGCTGCACCAAGCCCTTTTCCGCAGCCACCTGGTAGGCTGGCCTGCTGAAGAACGAAGGTGGGGCGTAGGCTTTCTTGCCACCTGTGCCTGGGGTTGAGACCATCTTGATGAAGTCATCCGCGTCGACGGGCTTGTCATCGGATTCCTGGTGGACGGGCTCATCGTCATCCAGGTCGTCATCAAGGAGCGTGGGGGCATGGGCCTTCTTCTTTCCAGCTGGCGCAGGATCTGACAGGTTGCGGATCTCATGGATCACTTGCTGTCCTGGCCAAACAGGTGTACTGTAAGAAAAGGCACCCTCCCACAAACAAACACTGAGCTTTTGCTATCGTAGAAGTTGGCCGGCACACGCTTTATTTGACACGATTCTTCAAAGATGGCAACCCAAACGTTGTTTGGGGGAGGGGGAAGCAGCTTGTGCTAACAAAGAAGTTGGCCGGCACACCCTTGACAGTTGTATCCATGATTCTTCGAAGATGGCAACCCAAACGTTGTTTGGGGGAGGGGGGGAAGCAGCAAGTTGGCCGGCACACCCTTGACAGTAGTATCCATGATTGTTGGAAGATGGCAACCCAAACGTTGTTTGGGGGAGGGGGGAAGCAGCTTGCGCTAACAAAGAAGTTGGCCGGCGCACCCTTGACAGTTGTATCCATGATTCTTCCAAGATGGCAACCCAAACTTTGTCTGGGGGAAGGGGGGGGGGAGCAGCTTTTGCTAACAAAGAAGTTGGCCGGGGCAAATTTAACAGTTTTATCCATGTTTCTTCGAAGATGGTAACCCAAACTTTGTTTGGGGGAGGGGGGGAAGCAGCTAGTATCCATGATTGTTTCAAGATGGCAACCCAAACGGAAGGAAGCAGCTTTTGCTAACAAAGAAGTTGGCCGGTACACCCTTGACAGTAGTTATCCATGATTGTTGGAAGATGGCGGCCCCAAACTGTTTATGGAAGCTCGCAGCGTTTGCTAACAAAGAAGTTGGCCGGTTGTACACTTAGTTTGTCCTTCGAGACCGGCAGCGTCACCAATCTGTGATTCATCGGACTGGTAGCCATCGCAAGACCAGTCATCGTCCTCCTCGGCAATCTCTTCTTGGTCAGTCTTGTCCAGCTTGGCGGAGAAGTGCTTGTAGCCTAACAGGAGCTGGCTGACCTTGCTGTTGGTGGATCCAGACCGAAGGTCAACGCAACGGATGTTGCAAGCGTTCTCACCGGGCCCGATTTTCAGCTTCAAGCATGCGTCTTTTGCAAGCAGCGCAAACATCAGTGTCATGACCCACGGGCGCGCGGTAGACCCTTTCTTTTTCAACTCTGGCTTTCCATCGACGGTCTTGATGTGCTTGCTGAGCCAGCTCTGCGTGGCTAACTGCCCTGTTCTGGGGTTCAAAACTATGTACCGCTCTGCATGTCGAAGGCCATCCAGCTCCTGCTTGGCGCGCTGAGTTTGCTTGTTCTTGTGCTTTGGGTCATTCTCCAGCAAGGACCCATAGGCATCCTTTGCCGTGTTGAGGCGGTGGCAGTGAAGCACCAAGGTGCGAACCACAGCGGACGCGACCTCGTATGGAAGCGAGCGCCACTCCTCCCCCTCCTGCCAGGAAATTGGAAAGATCACTCTCTTGTGAACAATCATGGAAGTACAAACTTGTTTAACATTCATGTTTTGTGTCCAACATGGAAATTGCGAAGCGCATGAAGCGGGGAGTGGCCTCACGCTGCTCGCTGTATTCAAGTCGGATCTGCTGACAAAAAGACTAACATGGAAGCCACACGAAGTCGGCTCCCGGGTAAGTAGGCGGCCGAGTGTGCAAGGCAATTCTTGAAGACGACCACTTCCCCCTCCAACAATCCTGGAAGCTGACAGGGAGATTTGGGATGTTTGCTTTTCTCTGTAAAGGTCCCATGTCTACTTCCATGATTGTTGGAAGGAGAAAAAAGTTGCAGGCTGGGGATTGCGTTGGCTGAAACACTGTTTGATTGCAGCCCCCTTCTTGCAGGTTTACGAGAGGTACAAAACGGAAAAGGGTACTTGACGGTGCATTACCATGAAATAGCAATCTGAAAAGAACGCTTCCATGGATTTCAACATTTCAGTCGCACACCCCGTAAATTAAGGTCTCTCCTGAATTTGCCATTCGAAGGTGGTGCACCTCTGGGGTGTGCTAGCCAGCCCATATTTGGCGAACTCATCGTGAAGTAGCGCCTGTGCATGATCCAAAGTGATGACTGGCGTGTTCTCGTTGATTGCGAATCGCTGCATGTGCGGCCAATCGAACAGGCCGCAAAGCAACCATGCAGATTGAAAAACCTTTCTCTCCAACGAGTTCCAGGCTTCCAAGGTCATGTCGACAACCTCGCTCCAGCCTTTCACCGACATGTAAACATGTCCGCTGGATCGCAGATCCATCTCTTGGAAGGCCTTGCGGGCCCTCAAATCAGCTGTCATACCAACCGAGCAGAGGTCGAGCTTGCGGATTTGCCTACGCAGCGTTCCGTGGAGTTGGTCCACGGGCTGCCCGTGGGCGCTCCATCCTCCGGGCATGAGGCGTGGCCTCGTGACCCGGTGAAGCTCAAGCCACGTGTCCCTTCAGGGGACTATCAAAGATGAGGGCTTGGTTTGATTTTGAATGGAATCCCTCATGAGGAAGAACATCCTAGAACCCAGAACTACCTAAGATGGGTGTCGGTTTGACTGCAGGGACCAGGTTTGTAATGAATTCATGAGAAACATTCTCAAACTCAGTATGTGTTTTGTTCCTCTGCAATCTTAAGGTATCCCCGTCCTTCGCAACGCTTCGCCACGCTGGGTGGCAAAGGACCCTGTCCAGGCGTCACACAGCAGGGCAGCTTGGGCCGCCGGGTCATCAAGCGACAGGTTGTACCTTGGTTTTCAACAATCGTGGAAGTGCAACAAAAAAGGAGGCTTGTTTGCCGATTTTTTTCTGTCAGAAACTCAGATTATTGGCATCCCTCATTGGCCCAAACAACGGAGCGCCCCAAAACACGTTGGTCTTTTTTGGGGGGAGGGGGGGGACGGGCATGCCTTTGAAGGGCATTCTCTTGAAATCCGACTCGCTTGTAATTGGCCCCAAAACGGGCGCCGCCTCTTTGGTTAAGATTCCCTCCAAAAATATGTCCCCGAACTTTTGTGACCACTTCCATGATTGTTGAACCTCCCCAAAGAACAACAGAGCATCATTCATTAGCCACCCAAAGGGCTAAAATTCAAACAATCATGGAAGCGGACGGTAAAGATCCCCAAACTTTTGGAGGAGAACCTGCCCAAAGAAAGACAAGGCATCCTTCATGGACCCAAACGTTAGAGCCCCCGAAAAAGTATGAGGAATCCCTTGAGAAACGGTTCCCTTGCGAGTGGCTGAAAAGATGGGCGCTGCCTCTTTGGCAACCCAAAGGGTTAAAATTCAAACAATCATGGAAGTGGACAAGGGGTGAGTTTTGAAAAAGCAAGATTTAACTCAGCACAGACGGGACACCCTCTGTCTACCCACGCCACAGGCGGTGAACTCCTAGTCTCAAGAAGAATTGGTGTACTGTGAGGTGAATGCAAACAAGGTTCTTGGCCCTTTGCAGCTGCAGCGCCGGGCTGTACAACTGCTCCATGACTTGCAGGAGAGTGTCGGCGCACATAAAGTGCGTAGACCCACCGGACGTCATCACCATGGCCGTTCCCACATGTTCACTGTTGAACGCCCGAATGGTAGCAGGCGTCATGGTGCCTTCGGGGAGGCAAAATGCCAGCGGTCCGCGTGAGCCGTCTGACCACGAAGAGGTCAGCACCTCAACATTCATGGATCAACGGGGTACCCACTGTCCATGATGGCCCAGGATTCAAAAGGGGATGAGGAATGTCAGGAATGTCCGTTCATTTTAAATATGGGATGTGAGGCTAAATAATTTCTTGCCATGCTACTGTCAG